CTCTCCCCGCGCTGTAAAAAACCAGCTCCGCGGGGGGACTAGCTCCCAGCTAGCTACACCGCCCCTTACAGCGCTGACAATGAAGGACGCGCAAACAGAGGGCCTGATTTAGTCAGACATGATTTTGATAAACCATTTCTGCTGCACACTAATACTTGTGATATTAAACTGAAAGCTGTAATAATACAGGACCAAGAATGGAAAAGTCCTGTGATGCATTCAGCTGTGTCTAGGGACACCCCTTTCTGCATCAAGTTTGTATGGGGGGTGTGACGCTGTATGGAATCTGGGGGACACTTCAGGATATCATGAATACCGATATTGTAAAATTTCAATGAGTTGTACCAGGTATGCTGCGTAAGGTATTTGCAAAAATGTTGTAATTTCCCAAGTATGATCATCTTGTTTATATGTCTGGATCATCTTTGTATTATGAGTTATAGATATGTAGGGTATATCTGTATTTCCAAACTTGTGCTGTGTTTCTGGGTGGCACCCCCAGACAGATTGGCATCAGTTCTAAGCCTGCTTGACAGCCCATCAAGGGACATCAACTGTACAATGAACCCATTGAAAGGAACAAGGACTACACTCAGCAAGCCATGTAGGGGCTGCCTATGGACAGAACTCTAAGACAGTAGTTCTCAAACTTTTGTACTGGTAACCCCTTTCCCATAGCAAGCCTCTGAGTGCCACCCTCCCCCCTTATAAATTAAAAACACTTTTTATATATTTAACACTATTATAAGTGTTGGATGCAAAGCGGGGTTTGGGGTGGAGGCTGACAGTTCGCGACCCCCCATGTAATAAACTCGCAACCCCCTGAGGGGTCCTGACCCCCAGTTTGGGAATCCCTGCTCTAAGGGCTAGTTTACACTGGCAGTGTTAAAGCGGCAGCACTTTAATGTGGCTGTGTAGTTGCAGCAGAGCGCTGGGAGAGAGCTCTCCCAGCACTCTAAAAAAAACCACCTCTATGAAGGGCGTGGCTCCCAGCGCTGGTGCACTGTCTACACTGGCGCTTTACAGCACTGAAACTTGCTGCACTCTGGGGTGTTTTTTCACACCCCTGAGCGAGACAGTTGCAGCGCTGTAAAGTGCTAGCATAGACAAGCCCTAAGGGTCTTCCATGCCATGTGCTGGACAGCTTGTGTTTGGGACACAAGTAGTACAAGCCACATGGCAAAAGGAATGTAAAGGCAGCTGCATCATCTCAATTTTGTGTTCAGTCCTGCTTCTTACCTCTGGAGCAACCTCTACACAATGAAGCTCCGAACAAAGGACTGAATGACCCATCCAAGCTGTGGATGTGTTCCAGAGGGACTTCAAGCCAGTAAACTTACCAATACTGCTAAGAACCTGATATTTGGACTTTGAAGTCTTTGTGTGTGTGTGACTGCTTTACCATTTAACATCTCTCTCCTTGTTCTTTCTAATAATCCTTTAGATGCTAAAGAATTGGCTGGCAGCGTGGTATTTTGGGTAAGATCCAAACCTATACTGATCTGGTAACGTGGCTGACCCTTTGGGATCAGAAGAACATTTGGTATATGTGAGCAGAGTTTTTTAAATAACTTCTCACTGTACTGGACCTAGGTGCTGATTGGGAGCCAGAGAACTGGAATGCAATAAAGGGGACTGTGTATTTCCTTTTTTTCAACAGTCACACTGGTTAACGTCAGTGTTAACTATCACTCTTAGGGAGAATCTGCTTTTCCTTTTGTAGCCTGCCTGGACTGTGACATTTTCAGTGAGGGCTATGGCAGGCACCATGGGTCACAACTCCCGCAGGGATTTCTGCTGTGAATGTTCTGGCCCTGAGGGAAGGATTCTGTGGAAAACAGGCCTTTCCCTTGCTCCAATCCAGGCTCTGCTGTTCTGATGCTGCAGAGCTGATACAGAAGGCCTAAGGGTTCCTGGAGAGCATGCAGCAAAGTCAGCATTCTATGCTGCCGTAGCCTGGGGGACACGTCTTTCTCTCACAGCACCTTCCAATGGAAGGAAGAACGTGACACGTGAGTTGGAGTCTCTCCTTGGCTTACAGATAACCCATTTGGCAGTAACACAAGTGTGAACTCGGGAATGCAGTGCTGCTGTTTAGATGCCCCGCAAGATACTCACTCGTGAGAGGAAACAACACTGCGATTATCACTGGAGTCTGGCAATAAGGAAGAGGAGTTGGAAATTCTCATTGAGGAGGGGAACTGGGGAAACCTGGTGGGACGATGTGTGTGACTGGAATGCCCGTGTCACTGGTTACAACCCATATAGGAAGGGGAGAGAGGATGAAAATGGTAGGCTCGGTGGCACTGGATATTAGACTGTCATAACTGTAAAGGGAAGGGTAACAACCCTCCTGTGTACAATACCATAAAATCCCTCCAGGCCAAAGACACCAAAATCCTTTTATCTGTAAAGGGTTAAAAAGCTCAGGTAACCTGGCTGACACCTGACCCAAAGGACCAATAAGGGGACAAGATACTTTCAAATCTTGGTGGGGGGAAGGCTTTTGTTTGTGCTCTTTGTTTTGGGGGTTGTTCGCTCTTGGGACTAAGAGGGACTGGACATCAATCCATGCTCTCCAAATCTTTCTGAACTAGTCTCTCGTATTTCAGACTTGTAAGTAACAGCCAGGCAAGGCATGTTAGGTTTATCTTTGTTTTCTCAACTTGTAAATGTTCCTTTTGCTAGAGGGTTTACCTCTGTTTGCTGTAACTTTGAACCTAAGGCTAGAGGGGGTTCCTCTGGGCTCTTTGAATCTGATTACCCTATAAAGTTATTTTCCATCCTGATTTTACAGAGATGATTTTTGCCTTTCTTTCTTTAATTAAAAGCCTTCTTTTTAAGAACCTGATTGATTTTTCCTTGTTTTAAGATCCAAGGGTTTGGATCGGTGTTCACCAGGAAATTGGTGGAGAAGTCTCTCAGGGCTACCCAGGGAAGGGTTATAGTACTTGGGAGGGAGATATTCTCGGGGGGAGGTAGACAGAGTTTCCCAAATGACTCATAAATAATTTGGGTGGTGGCAGCAAAATCAGATCTAAGCTGGTAGTTAAGCTTAGAGGTTCTCATGCAGGTTCCCACATCTGTACCCTAGAGTTCAGAGTGGGAAAGGAACCTTGACAACACCTGTTTAAAGTTCTTGGTTATTGAGACCCCCAGGACCTTGAATGGACAGGGATCATGCTGGTAACTAACGCAGCCCAGCAGGGGAAGCAGTGGGGGG